TGCCAACCACTACACATGTAAGATAGTCGACTGTTGTGCACTTGTGAATTGTTATTCTGGTGAGATTACAAGTTCTCACAATATATTCCTGCCAATGGATTTGTGAAAATTTTTGTTTTCTCAATCATGTGGGAAAATAACAGTTCCCGCTGAAGTAAGAGAAACTGAGTCTGAGAAATTGCTCTGAATGTATGCATAGATAGATGCATTGGAAGAAACACAAATCAATCGTCCCTGATTTCAGAATTCATTGAAATAGGGACTAATAAACAAGGATATTCATTAGACAAACTTCCTTTTATGACTCATAACAAATAACTGAAAAGCCACAGTGATGCACTTGGGGTTGGAAATACATTTGTCATTTACATACATCCTCACGAGATCCATTTCAGTACATTACACAGGTTTTATTTTCAGTAAGATTTTATAATTGTGACAAATGTTATATTTCTACTTACTAATTGTTGTAGTTGGTTTGTTAGTTCTTCACTATTAATCTTGTATTTTTTAACTTCATTCTCTTGTTCCAAGATAACATTTTTTAATTCTTCTAATTCGAGATTTTGTTCACTAATTTTAGACTCTAATTCAAGAAGTTTTGAAGTATTGTTTTCTGTGTCACCTTCTTTCCCTTCAGTAACTACATGATTGTTTTTCTGGAGAGAGAGAGAGAGAGAGAGAGAAAAAATATAGTAATTCAATACATGCATTGGTATAATGTAACAACTCAGGGACACCAAAGCCTGTGATTTGTCAGAACAATAAACACTTTAGCAATAAAACCATTATCTAGCCCTGTAAACTACAAGATAGTGCACAGAAATATGACAAATCAGGACTTGCAGTGGCTCAAATATGGAGAGCTTCTCCCCATATGTTGGGGCATATTTAGACAAATGCCAGTTATATTATGCGGTAGAAGCATCTCTGCCCCATTTTTGTTGTTTTAAACACAGATTATTCAGCAAGAACCAAGGTTTAAGTACCCAAATGTTATTTTTTGTACGTCTACATGTTTGACTGCAAAAAATAATATAATAGCAATGGTGTGAATGTACAATGTCTCCTTTTACCCAATTACCAACTTTTTTGCCTCTTTCACAAACCAGGAGAATTACCATTATAAAACACAAGTCACTAAATTTGTATGTTATTGTGATATAGATTTTTATTGGGGAAGGTCGATGCCATTTTTTTTTAAATGATGATAAATTCCTTAGAGTATATGGTTTCCAATTAATTATTCCATTGAATATGAATATGAAAAAAATATATTGCAGCAAAATTTAAATGTAATTCGGCATTGAAAATGATGAAAGATATGTGGAAGCCCTGTCTACAGAACACTTGTAACACGAAGAAGTCTTGTAACAGTTGCCTTGCCTACGCAATGCTCGTCTCCTTAGTGACGCAATAAGAGCTAATAGGGTAGTGAAGGTGTGATGCAAAAGTGCCCGAGGCACAACCAACTTGAAAACAATCTACTGATATTAATTTTTCAGTAGCTAGAGCATGCAAAATAAATGTCCCACCCTCCCAAACATGCATCAACAAGGGTTTATTTTCTTAACACCTGTTATTGAGTTTATTCATTACATTATCATCATTATAGTTCTCAAATACACAGGTAAAATAATAGGTACATTGTACCCCTAAAGTATCATTACTTGTATAATTAATTAAGTAGAGACTTAAACTCAATTTTGCATCGTCTTTTGTATTTGTCCTTTAGTTATGTTTAATTCTGGTTAAAATTTTGGCCATTGGTAACATAATAACATACAATTGCAAAAAAAAAAGTTCAGGAAGTGAATCATTTTCTAGTCTTGTTATATATGCAATGTTTGGAATATGTTGTATTTTACATAAATTAGTAATGCTTGAGATCTATGTAATCAATTTCAGATTCAATTTCTCCTGCAAAAAATTACGCCAGATAGATTCAATTTTCATTTGCTGTGATATTCAAAGATGCTGTATAGGAGTCGGCTACATACACATGATACAAGGATTCTTGTTCGAGCGGTTATCCACAATTTTCAGTCTTCATCAGTGTTTACGATCATGCGTTTAAGATATCTGATTTCTTTTAAAAGGTTCTGCGCTAATTGAAATGGTTGCTCATCCTTGTTGAAATCCGTTGTACGTTTTACTATATTTGAAAGTTTAGTGATGTCGTTAGAGAGGAAGGAGGGCCTTGACTGCTGCTGACGTTCCTGTAAAGAGTGCTTTCAGAATTTTTACCAGTAAACCAGAATTTCTAGAATTATAAATGTGGCTTTTAGATCAAGGAAGCATAGAAAGAGTGACTTTTATGGTAAATTCGTCACGTTTTGCAAAATGAAAATGACATTTGTAGTCCATCGATTAGCTCTGAATTCGAACTGAGAGACTGATATAATTTTCTCATATGCTTTTCTAATTCTATTATTATTATAAATGATGCCAGTATTTTTGCCTTATAATTTTCAGCTTCATTTGTGAGCCTTTTTTTCAGAGAAGTAGGGAATTAGCCATGATGATGGTATGACGAAAATTGTCCAAATAGTTGTTAATTGAGCCGTCAGATAAAAAGAAATCTATTAAAATTGTTGTATTTCAGGAACTTAACATGTAGCAAGTCTGCCCCCCAGACATTTTTCATTTTTAATCCTCGCTAACATTTTTTTGTACTTTGACAGTCTCGCGAGTGATACTGTTCCGTGACTACAAACTAATCGGGTTGTAATAATTTGGGGGATCCTCAACCTGAAATTGTATTTTGATGATTTTTTGTCACTGAAATGATCCTCGTAAGAGGTTTTTACCTTATCTCATAACACTCACTAAATCCTGTCTTAATGATGCTACTTGTACAACTACAGCACCATGACATTAGTCTAACCCCTGCATTGCCGTACGCATTTTGAATCGATGGTTACAAGGACCTATACAAGAGAAATCTGTACCTTGTCTATGACCCTCATATTCCGTACCTTAATTACTAGTATTCAATTAGCAAAGCGCTCACACACAGATGACTATTTCATACATTTTGTACACAAGACTTACAGTCTACAGAACATCCACAGCATGTGTAAATATCGTCATCAGGACACATAGTAAACCTGACATATGACCTTTGATCTTTAAACAAGAAATACTACGTTGTTTTTTTATTCTTCGCAAAATTTTGAGCAAAATTTTTTCACAATGCAATTTTTGTTTGTGCTTATCTCTATGAAATGTATGTGGAAATATATTTATTTATTTTTGTGCAATTTCCCTGTAGAATTTTCTCTGTGTGTATGTATTTGTGCAGCTTACCCTTGAGAGTTTCTAATGGTCAGTCCTTCAATACTCACAACTCTCTCGATTATGGTGTCTTTTTCTTGAAGTTCTCGGTTCAACGTCTCTTGAACTTTTTTCAATTCTTCAATTTCTTGCTCCAATGAGGTAATTTGTTGATTTTCTGCTTTTAGACCAAATGACTCGAGAACAGCAACTTGTTGCTGCACATCACCCTGACCTAACACATCTGTAGAAAAAAAAAAGTTTAGAACTAAAATCAGATTTGATTATGTAAACAAAACCGAAGCTAATTCATTGCTTGACAAGATATGCTGAAATGATTTCATCTAGTCAGGGGTATCCATTATCTCATTCAAATTCCACTGAAAACCGATGAGTAGTTGTGAGACATACACACACACACATACCTTCATCTCGTACTATCGTTGTGATAACACACATTGGATTAACTTTTAATATAGTTGAATTAACTTTTAATATAGTTGTGATATACACTCGATTAAAATGAGTTCCTATATAGGGTTATGTTTTAATTGGAGTTTAATTAAACTCAATTACAATGCAATTCAACATAGAATTGTGTTTTAATTCAAGTTTAATTAAATAGAGGTTGAATATCCCGTAACTTAACACAGAAATGTTTGCAAAGCTTAGACAGACAGACACACACACTCACACACAGACAAACAAGGTAGCAAGGTAAATGAACTTTATGTCTGGCTTAACACAAATGTAACACATTAATAATGCAATTTATAAAAGTCAGGTAATATAGTCAATTGCTTAACACTAAAATAGCTGGAGTATTATAATCACAAGACAAAGAGGATTTTCTACACGTAACCCTTCAGTAATAGCTGACACTTCACCACTATTGACTCGACACTATCGAGGTTAAGCAGAGTGCATTTCAGGGCCACAAGATATTTACATAAATACTCAAGTCTCCCATTCCATATGCAATTACCATGGAACATCCCCAGACACTTTCCTGTTACACTTCAGTGGTAGTCATAGGCACAACATAGTTACGTGACAGTTAATCGAAATAACAACGCAAGAGTTCCATCAGACATTGGTTATTCTAAGTGATTTAGTTTTAATGGAACACTTTCTGCCATTTTCTAACTCAATAAATGTTCGCCAAAAAAAAAATGTTAAAATAAATTTCAATTGAAACCTGAACACACAAGAAAATTACCATGTCATTATTTCAAAGAAAAACAATAAGAGGTTAAAAATAGACATCTATATCTGCTAAAAAAATATTTTTGATAGTGGTATCAAATGAACAAATCTAAAAGGTATGTGAATAGTAAACTAGTGGTTCTTAAGAAGAAGTAAAACAAGCAGCCTCTCGGCTGAGATAGCTCCGCTGTTAGGAATGCACATTTCAATTAATAAACTGAAGATATCATTAGAAAATGAACAATCTGAAAGAGGTCTACCCGAGGTACCTATATGTATAGTATCAAAGCAATTGAGCTTGCTGTTTTCAATAAGAATTAAAAAATATAACTTTTTACCAAAAATTACAAAAATATTCATCAAAATTAGAGAATTAAAAATATCATCACGAAATAAAAAGATTTAAGAGAGGTCTACCCAAGGTACATACACTCCAATTATCAAAGCATTCAGGCCTGTAGTTTTCAAGAAGAAGTCGAAAAAGTAAAAAGTTGACATGGACGACGGACGCCAACAGACAATCACTCATATGATAAGCTCTACTCGACTAAGTCGACAGCGGAGCTAAAAAAAACGTTTATGGACAAACAATCATCTGTATATGAATAAACCAAAAGAAATTCAGTGTTTCTAACTGAGCAGCCTGTTTTACCGTAATAGGTAAAGTTGACGACTGAGGACAATGGTTAAATCTGCATATACACATTGCAGATAGATAATGTAAAAGAAATCCCTTCATCAGGTTATTAACTTATGGTAAATAACTGTAACACTACATGTACAAAATTTTAAATTGGAAACACCTTTGCAAGATTCAAAACCAGGACAATATTTTGAAGTAGAATACAATGAGATTAAACACATGGCAGAGAGACTGAACACATGGCAGAGAGACTGAACACATGGCAGAGAGACTGAACACATGGCAGAGAGACTGAACACATGGCGGAGAGACTGAACACATGGCGGAGAGACTGAACACATGGCGGAGGGATTGAACACATGGCAGAGATTGAACACATGGCAGAGATTGAACACATGGCAGAGATTGAACACATGGCAGAGATTGAACACATGGCAGAGATTGAACACATGGCAGAGATTGAACACATGGCAGAGAGATTGAACACATGGCAGAGAGATTGAACACATGGTAGAGAGATTGAACACATGGCAGAGAGATTGAACACATGGCAGAGAGATTGAACACATGGCAGAGAGATTGAACACATGGCAGAGAGATTGAACACATGGCAGGAAGATTGAACACATGGCAGGAAGATTGAACACATGGCAGAGAGACTGAACACATGGCAGAGAGACTGAACACATGGCAGAGAGACTGAACACCTGACCCATTTGATGTTCACTTCTAAATAATGGAATATTCCAAATAATCAGTGCACAGGGCCCTTTACTTCAAAGGTAGAGCCGCATGCATTATTTTGATCAAAAGCAACGAAAGTGTCTAGGAATGTGTCTGAAGATGTTGTTAAGCTTCTTGGTATTTGTCTTGGGCTATTAGACGTATGTAAATATGCCACGCCCACTACAAGACACATAGCCAGTATTGCCTTACGACTAATGAGGATACAGCATTAATGCATTAAGAGTGATAGTATTGGCTTATGGCAGAAGCCTACTCATAAATGAAAATACACAGAATTTATTTTGCAACAAATTGTTCTCCAACATAAAGATATTAGGAGTCACCAGATTTATTTTCGAGAAAATGATGGTTGTATTTTAGCAGATAGTTTTTGGCAGTAGTATAATGATTTCACCATAGGTTCCTATGGCAGGGATATTATTCCATATCTTAAACTGTAGGCCAGTGACTTCAAAAAATCATATATTGGTAATGACGGGGTACTGTTTGTTGTCATTTATTACCTCAAAGATCTGGGTTTTAAAAAGTCTCCAAAATGCAATTTTTTTTTTAACACTTGTCTATGGAATTGTTTTGAAAATAATGATGATTTTTTTTAAATATTAAGACAAGTTTCTTAAAAAACATTACTGTAACACACACAAAAATGCTATTTTATTGTGCCATGGGACAATAGCTCCATTGTTGTATGAGTAAACCAATGAGTAATGTAATAAAATTCATGACAAATTTCCTCAAAAATTATGAGTAAGCTTCTCCCGTAACACTACTGAGGCTCAACACTAAACGAGGCATGTCTATATATAAATAAGTCTTGCGCCAATGTTTCAAGCAATACATCTAAACATAAGAGGCATTATATTGAAATAAAACTCAGTTTGCTTGTGAATAAAATAGAACTTGTTTTCAGTGAAGAATTTTAAAATGAAATTAAGATGGTAAAATTAAATATGAGTGATGTATTTAGAGTACCTTGCTGTCCTTTCAAAAGTGCATACTGATCTTTTAACTGTTGTATTTGTGAAATTTGTTCTTCTATTTGCAGCTGTGACTCGTTGTGTTTACTTTTTAACTCTTCATTAAGTGTCCTTAGTTCACGTACTTGGTTGTCCTGGTAACACAGCAAACACAAAAAGAGATCAGTGCGAAATAAAGAAAGTTCAAAAAAAAAAAAACTCAAGACTTTTTTTTTTCAAAACGATGTTGTAATGTGTAATTTTGAAAATGTTTTATCTAGACTTTAAAAGGAATTTGTACTACTCATTACTTAATTGCCATGGTTTGTAGTGTTCCGACAATGTTAGTTTAATTGGCTGTTGCCATGACAAATGCAATTGTTATCTTGATACAAATCTCAGGGAGATCAAGCCCTTACATACATACCAAAGCAAGCATCAAAGCTAATGAGCTGGTAACTTTTACTAAGTCAAACATAGCATTTTTCATCACAAATAACAAAAATAATCACTAAAAATTGAACAAATCTGACAAAGGCAGACTTTATGGGATAATGTTGGTATTTTCACCATTGAGGGCAGACTTTATGGGATAATGTTGGTATTTTCACCATTGAGGGCAGACTTTATGGGATAATGATGGTATTTTCACCATTGAGGGCAGACTTTATGGGTTAATGTTGGTATTTTCACTATTGAGGCCAGACTTTATGGGTTAATGTTGGTATTTTCACCATTGAGGGCAGACTTTATGGGATAATGTTGGTATTTTTACCATTGAGGGCAGACTTTATGGGTTAATGTTGGTATTTTCACCATTGAGGGCAGACTTTATGGAATAATGTTGGTATTTTCACCATTGAGGGCAGACTTTATGGGTTAATGTTGGTATTTTCACCATTGAGGACAGACTTTATGGGATAATGTTGGTATTTTTACCATTGAGGGCAGACTTTATGGGTTAATGTTGGTATTTTCACCATTGAGGGCAGACTTTATGGGTTAATGTTGGTATTTTATGGGTTAATGTTGGTATTTTCACCATTGAGGACAGACTTTATGGGTTAATGTTGGTATTTTCACCATTGAGGGCAGACTTTATGGGTTAATGTTGGTATTTTATGGGTTAATGTTGGTATTTTCACCATTGAGGACAGACTTTATGGGTTAATGTTGGTATTTTCACCATTGAGGGCAGACTTTATGGGTTAATGTTGGTATTTTATGGGTTAATGTTGGTATTTTCACCATTGAGGACAGACTTTATGGGTTAATGTTGGTATTTTCACCATTGGGGGCAGACTTTATGGGTTAATGTTGGTATTTTCACCATTGAGGACAGACTTTATGGGTTAATGTTGGTATTTTCACAATTGAGGGCAGACTTTATGGGTTAATGTTGGTATTTTCACCATTGAGGACAGACTTTATGGGTTAATGTTGGTATTTTATGGGTTAATGTTGGTATTTTTACCATTGAGGGCAGACTTTATGCTTTATGGGTTAATGTTGGTATTTTCACCATTGAGGACAGACTTTATGGGTTAATGTTGGTATTTTCACCATTGAGGGCAGACTTTATGGGTTAATGTTGGTATTTTCACCATTGAGGGCAGACTTTATGGGTTAATGTTGGTATTTTATGGGTTAATGTTGGTATTTTCACAATTGAGGGCATT